AAAAAAAAAAAAGTATATTCCACGATTAATAAAATAAGTTTTGCAGACTATTATTAGGACTCTCAAATTTGATTGAAGTGTAAATCTTCTTTACGAGGTGAGTGGTCTTTTACTTGTATTAGTAAGTCGATATATATTTGCTTTCACAATTCTGATAAGATATAGTTAATGATTTATCACTGAACTTTTTAGTTTATAGTTGATATCTTATGTGTGATGGCTGAATTGTTAGCTGATATGATAAAAGTGTTTGGTAAATTAGGTGACAATTAAGTTGAAATAAAAATTTATTGGACTTATTTGTAAAGCTACTCAATGAAGCTATTGAGATGAGTTCGAGGTTTTTTAAAAAGAGATGATCACAAATCAAACTTATTCGTATATCATAAAATAACCGAATAAGTTGTAAGCTACATTGTGGTGCTTACCAAACACACACCAAATGTCATTAAAGGGATTAAATGGTATTTGAGGGCCCCACGGTTTTTTATTTAAATGAATGAGCCCCATTTGTATTATTGGTCTCACATCCCATTTAAATGGCCCAAAATAACACCCATTGCAAATGCCCCAAGGGAAAAAGTTCATCCTTAGGGCTTTTAGCAATCAGATTAACACGCATACATATAGATGTATGTAACTTGACCAGACACTTCATGGGGAAAGATTTAACTTGCCTGAATAAGATGTTGGATATACTTGTCTTTCGTGGAATGATAAAAAATAGAAGGAACAAAGAATGATAATGAATGACTCGATCAAATCATGAACACGCTTCTCGAACAAACTCGAACAAAGAGTTTAAATAAATAAGCAAGGTCGAGGTATGTGAAACACGCTCACAGTGCCCACGGTTTTCGACAAGCATCTCCAAAATATAACAAAGTGGTACTTCAAATACACAAGATTTCATCGAATATACTCGTGTTCAGAACTTTGGATAATGAATAATGTACACACGATAAACATATAATATCTATGTTCTATCTTAATTTCCTATCTTTATGTTAAGTTCTTTGGTCTTGATGAATTTCAAGTCATGATTGAGTACTTATAGATATTTTTGTAAAAGACACTTTTTGGGACGTATTCGTTCTTTCAAAACTGAGTTAGAACCTTTTCACCATGAGTAGGTGCATTAGGTCGTGAGCTTGTCGTGCCTAACTAATGTACTGCTCCAAGCACCCCGCCCGCTATGAAGCTTGTCACATGCCCGTGAGCTGGGAGCCTGTACACACTCGTCCGGATTCAAAATGATGTCAACTTTTTTACTTGATCCCAACGCACCCCAACTTGTAGATATCTAGCATGCTTAGTGCATGATTACAGCTCATTTGGTTTGTTCAAACATTCATCAAAGACATAATATTTGTGAATCAAACGCTTTTCTGGTCGCCGCTGTCCACTTGAACCCACCTTTTTTTTGTCATTTATGTCAATGGCTTAGCTATCGAGCCATAATCCTTGAAAAATTTCAAGTAGCAGCCCGTTAGCACCGAGAATCCCCGCAATTCTGTGGAACTCTTTGGCTTCTGCCAGTCCTTCATCGCCTCAATTTTTTAGGGATCAACTTTAACACCCTCATAGAAAATTATGTGTCCTAATATTCCACCGATTCTTGGCCAAACGAACACTTAGACGGTTTAATATGAAAACATTCTCCGCCAAAATTCTCAAAATCAGTCCTTCACTAATGGTGCTTGGAGCATATTGGTGCCTCTTTACGATCTAACAACGGATGACACTGAAAATAGAACCAGAGTTGGTGTTACGGTTTTTATTTATAGGCTCACAATCATACCATTCGATTTGCGGGTACTTTTTAAGTCTCAGCGCAGACAGTTCCCCATCATGATTTCCTATGTTATGACAATTAATAAGAGTCAAGAACAGTCTTTGTCGCATATCGACTTACTACTAAAGAGTCATGTATTTAAGACATGGACAATTTACATGACGCTTTCCAGAGTTACGAGTCAGAGAGGTTTGAAGATAATGATATGTGGCGATAGAGATTCAAATTATAGGAAAAACCACGAACGTTGTATATAAAACAATGTTTAATAATATTTAGATTTTTTTTCTTAAACGTTTTTCAATGATTATGTTATAATTTCCACTATTGTTAATATTCTTATTATTATTTTTATTTTTATCATATAATTTTTCGTGCAAATGCATGAGTTAAACATTAAAAACTAGAAATTAACAAAGACTAGTTTAACGATTATGAAACCATACATTTCTAACAAAAATGTATGCGTTATAACATTATTTATATTATTATTTTTTAGTGCATAATATTTTAATATTGAAGTATATAAATTGAATTGAAAAAGTATTGTCGACTATCGATTATATGCAATGTAATAATATTATTGAACACATTAAATGTACGTAGTTACGGCATTTTCTTCATGATAATGTTCATTATAGTTCCTTCAAATGTCAGTGATATGGTAGTTGTGAATTCCACGAAGATTACACGAATTCCTGAAAATTAATTAATGATCTGACTGTAAAAGCTAGGTAATGGAATCGCAAAATTTATAATGAACATATAAATACAGGAAAATGCTAAGGTCCCGTTACGGAACTATTTCGTTAGAGTTTGTAACCGTTAAATTATCATGTTACCGTTGTAGATAGTTGATCTAACGGTCATAAGCTCTGACGAAATGGTTCCGCAACAGAACCTAGCATCTTTGAAATATATATAAGCCATATATAAATGGCGGACAATTCTATCTTTGAGTAAACTCAAAGATATACTGTATATTATTATACTTACTGTTATGATTAAGATCAACCAACGGTCTTTATCTCCCAAATAGAACCAGACAGACCAAATGGTTATTTGGAGTAAGGGTGGTATCGGTTCGGTAACCGAACCGATAACTAAAAACCGATACCGAACCGATAAGGATTCGGTATCGAAAATCCATACCGAAACCGAACCGATAAGGATTCGGTAACCGAAAATTCGGTTACTGAAAATCGGTTCGGTTTCGGTAAAAACCGAACTAAAAC